TAGGAAACAGGTTAACGGTAAATCAATTCATTGGAAAGTTTTTAGTTTATTTACAGAACATACATTTCAATTTTGGGAAAAGTGTTGGTGTTTTGAAAATGTTGATGTTTCCTATGATGATTATATTCAATTTCTTCATCTTCTTACAGCTCGTTGTACAGTAATTTTTCGGTTGAGTAAATATAGAATTGCTATTCCGCCTTATATACGTTGCTCTATGTCTTATGTACGAGCTCTTTCTTTTCGTCAGAAGAGAACTAAAAGCTTAGATTTAAAACGAGAAGTATGTTACTTACGGAAAACTATTAAAAATGAACTTAAATTCTTTTTATCCTCTCAACTGTCTTATGCTCTTCAACTAAGACATACAAAATCTCCTATATCTGTCTCTTTTCGTCAAAGGCTAAACGTTTTATCAAACCAACTTCGTCCTCTCTTAATGGTTTTATTGTTTTTTCAGATGCAATTGTGAATGATTCTATTAGAATGTGTGATGTAGCTGCTGATTTTTATGAAGATTTTTTCAGAAGATCTGATAATATAGTTAGACCACATCCTTATGTTGATGCACTATTGTTAGATTTTGATAATAAAGATGATCCTATTCCTGAAGTATCTTTAGATGAATTATCACAGGAGGTTGATTGTATTAAAAAAAAGAAATCTTTAGATGCACATGGTTTGAGTGATTATATGTTCAATTTCTTACATTCATCGCATTGTTCATTTCTTCTTCATCTTTATAATTTTTCTTTTTCTTCGGCTGTTCTTCCTGTTGCATGGAAAGATACTAGAATTTTACTTTTAGCTAAAAAAGATTCAATTTGTTCACCTGCATTAACTCGTCCTATATCTTTATTAGATTGTTTTCAAAAAGTTGGTGAAAATTTGTTTCTATCTAGATTTCGTGATGTTCTTTATAGAAGAGGTTTACTTCCTGATAATCAATCGGGGTTCCGTGAAAGGTTTAGATTGCAAACAAGATTGTTGTTATTTTTTGATAATATATATAGTCTGATGTCTAACAGTTCTCCAACGGTTACGTTGTTTGTTGATTTCAAAAGTGCGTTTGACATGTTGTGGCATGATGGTTGTGTTGGTAAATTTTGTAAAATGAGCATTCCACCATCATTCACGAATTGGATTAGAGCTTGGCTTGAGAATCGTAGAGGATTCATTGAAATTAATAGTGTAAAATCTAGATGGTTTGGGATTGAAAAAGGTGGTCCCCAAGGACGTTCTCTTACTCCTACTGTTTTTATATCATATCATACTGATATGCTTGCTTTTCTTTCGTGGTCGTCTTCGCATCTTTTTGCGGACGACTTAGCAGCTGTTGTTGCTGGTCAGATAGGGTTGAAGTTTTCTATTCAATGTATAGATCTAGAGAAAAGACTCAAGCTATTTTGTGATCAACTTGAATACTATTGTCTTCTTACACTTCAACCGATAAATTATACTAAAACTGAAGCTTTATGGAGTACACGTGCTCCCTTTTCTCCTCAATTTGATATTATACTTGGTGGTCATACAATTAAGTGGACAAAAGAATTTAAATATCTTGGATATCATATTACTCCTAGGTTGGGATGGAGCAAACTGATCCATATGTCTATGCTGAAAATTAGACAACGATTATGTCTTATTAATTCTTTTAGATTTTTTGGTAAAACGTCTAGGGTTCTTAGAAGAGCTTTATTTTCTTCTTATGTTTTACCATTGTTTACATGGTTATATCCTGTGTTTCCTCTTCTTACAGATCTTCAACGTGCTCAACTGAGGGTGTAGGTGTGGATGTGGGTGTGGATGTGGGTGTGGGTGTGGGTGGGTGTGGGTGTGGGTGTGGGTGTGGGTGGGGGGGGGGTGTCTGAGTGTGTGGGTAAGTGCGGGTGTGGATGTGCAGCTAATCTCTTACCCACACCCACACCCACACCCACACCCACACCCACACCCACAACCACACCCACACCCACACCCACAACCACACCCACACCCAAACCCACACCCACACCCACACCCAAACCCACACCCACACCCTCAAGTGGTTGGGCGGCGCCCTAAGGATTTTTCAAAAGGGTCTTTATAGTGAGAGATGATATTGTTTTTCGTGGAGCAAACCTACAACGGTACATTTATCTTCAAAATACTTTCTAAAATAATACCTCGCCTGTTTAATAAAAAATACCAGAGTTAGTTGGATTGACATTTTCTATTATTCAGAAAAAATACATGTAAGAAAACAGTAAACTCCCTCCCCCTCTCCTATATTAGAAGCCTCCGGGGGCTTCTAATTTGTCCACCGCTTATAATTTCTGAAGGGGCTTCTATCAAGTCCCAAAAAGTTTTCATAGACTATGATAAGGAACTCGATTCGAAAGATTTCTAGAAATTTTCAAGACTTTCATGATTTTTTCAGAAGATTTTAGGCAATTTTTCCAGATTTAAGCACAATTAGATAGGATCTAATCGAAATTTCACCTTAAAATCGAGAAGTTTTAGCAGGGAAATTCGAAAAATCTAAAAAACTATAAAATGTCCTTGAGGGTGGGTGAGTGGGTGGGTATGGGTGTGTAGTTAATCTCTTACCCACAATCATACCCACCCACCCACACCCACACCCATACCCACACCCACACCCACACCCATACCCACACCCACCCTAGCACACTATAAACCACACTATAACCCACACCCACACCCACACTCACACCCATCCACACCCACACACACACCCACACCCTGTGACGGATATATTTTGGTATTAGTGTTTTTCATAAGGTCGTAAGTCGCTATACAATCCTGTTTCAATAGTCCACTTTTTAAACAAATCCATATTGTCGAATTTTCTTGCATAAAGGGCAGAAGACTGTTTCATACGATCAATATCTTCGTCTAGTATACTGGGACTCAGCTCTCCACGCCAGTGTATATATCTCCACTGGTTTGCAAAGTCGTCCATATAACCTAAGGCATCCCAAAGATGCAATGATCCATTTACTGACGAGTACTCCAGTGCATTATGATAAAATTTAAGATGCTCGTTCTCATTGAATGGCCTTGTCGAAAGGTAGTAAAACGTCTGGAAAAAGTATTCATCAGGGGCAAAAGTGTTGTGATAGTATATAAGCCAATAATATAATAACTTTCTATTGATTTTCTTAAACATATGAAAGACAGATTCAAACGATAATATCGTCCATCCTGCTCCAATGCGAAGTACATGTTGTTCTGCTGCAGTCATTCTATGAGTTGACAGAAAATCGTTCGTAAAGTTGACATGCCGTAAATTGTCGGGCGAGATTGAACTTTGTTCGCCTCTCTGAAGAGTCACACCAAAGTCATTACAATAAAAATTTTCGATACGGGAGCAAAATGAACCCGGGCATACCACACCAGTATTATAAATTGAGAATTTTTGATAAACAAATAGACGATTCAATATTGCGTGTTTAGATTTAATAGGAAAATCTGCGGATGACATGCTGATGAAAGAATCTATAGTATGACCGAATGGTGAAATGAGCAGAGTATGAAGGCACAACAGTTCGACGTAGACAACTGATATTGATCCATAACGACCAATGAGCGATTCTTCAGTGTCAATTACCCATACATATGGATATTGAAACCCTTCCATAGTAAGCCACCGTTTGAATTCTAAGACTTCGCTTGAATCACGTATTCGGAGATCACAATGGACTACAATGATTGTATGTTTCGCGACAAAAATGGCGTAAATTAATTTTTTTACTCGCCATAAGTCTTCTATGGAATGAGAAATGATATAATATCCAATCTTTATATCGTTTCCAGGCAATAAACTCTTTTGATTCCAATCCAGTTCTGAAAAGTTAGTTGGTATTGATTTTTTCATCATTGTATGATTGTTATGGATCTTTTCTTCGACTAACTCAAACTGTTTCATTTTCAATTGAAACCACTTGGGAATTAATAACATTCCAATAGCTAGTGCGTGTAGAGGACAGGGATACATACGGCGAGAGAAGAAGATCTGAGACTCGATGCGAAGGATCTCATTGAAAGTTTCTTCCGATTCTGGTAAGTTTTTGAAATACCAGAGATCTTCATGACTTGAGGGAACTGATATTTGTGTGTCTTTTTTTATTATACGATGATCAATTAAAAATGCTTTTTTATACTTAAACTGGAACCAACCTATAGCTGACAATGCGATGACTGCGGTTATACAAAATAAAACTCTGACACAACTTAAGTACATGTTATGAGAAAATTCATGACCTAGCGTTCATACAACAAAAACAGAAGGAATATTTTTTAATTCGACAAAGATCAATCAAATCCTCATATGAATGGATTTTATTTACATGTGGAAGCCTGCACTGAAAAAAAAAAGGTGTCATACGAAACCTAAAAAAGGTTTCGTGGCTACCACGAAACCATTTTTGGGTTTCGATGTTTGCAACGAATTCGAAACCATTTTTTAGTTTCGTACAATACTATGAAACCCTGAAAAACGTTTTCTGAATCGCTGAAAATCCTCTGTAAAGGCTTCGCAGT